AAGCAATGCATTCTGATCCTGACGCAATGCATTAAGGTTAGATGCATTGCGACCTCTCACCCGGCTGCACAAACTCTAACCGCCTCCGTGATGACTTTACCTTTGCCCTTATTGGCTGAAGAGTTTAGTTACACGCATGACGTTTGTATCCCAGGCAGTTCCGATGCGTAATCTGCTATTTCTCCCGAATATCACGTAAAGCAGTGAGAACTGGTTTTCAGTTAATTTACCTGGTAAAATAAAGTTTAAATAAATCACATAAATGCTCTAATAGTACACGTAAGTTAGTGGTTTATTTATTGTTATTTACTGTAATGTTGCTCTGCTTTATTTGGTTAATCGTCCAGCCTGTGAAGAAGGAATTCAAGTAAGAATTGCATTGTAGTATGACTCATTTCCTGACGCGTACAATTTATATTAGGTCAGCGTTCACGGTTCGACTTCTGATATTCAGATCGAGTTCTAGGTCAAACTAGTTTGTTCAACTTTCAAGAAATTCGAGTTCTACTGAGTTCGAGAACCGAGGTACCACTGTATATGTGTGTGAGCTCATTAATGAGAACCGCCCCTCACCTGGTGACTATTGGCCTCTGTCTCTGCCCATGGTTCATACCTGACTGCAGGTACTTCGCTGAACACGACAAGGCCAGTGCACTACAGGTCCTCCATGACTCACTGCAGCCCAGGCACAGGTAACTGTGGCTGAACAGCATGAGGAAGGGAGGCTTACAGAAGAAAACTGAAGTCGTGCTTTCACCTACATATTCCATTTATTCATTCCTTATAAAAATATCCTTTGTTTGGTTCTCCGTTCATGAATATCAATTTCTTTTGTTCTATAATGGATTATATTACAGCTTACTTCCCATAATAATATCTGGGTGTCCAAGTCACAGATTAAATAACCAATGATTGCAAGTGGATGGGTGGCTGTCAGTTTATGCTTTTTCCTGTCATATGACTCCTCCTTAAGGGATTTGTGACTTTCCATTCATAATAGCTCTTTTCTTTATTCTGATGTTTAATTTTTATTGCTTATCTTTACGTTGTCTCTCTTCATCCTTTCATTAAGTTGCCCTCTCTCCATACCTTTTATTCCATTTCCGTGCCTAGGAGTGCATCCAAGGATGAGGCCAGGTACTGTCCACACTCACAAGCCTTACAGTTAAAGTTTTTGCATCCATTTGCTGTGTTATAATTTGTGCCCTTATTGTTACAGTATTACATAGAACATAGTATAGAATTCTAGAATGTTATGTTATATTAAATTCTCAGGAGCAGAACTGAGTCTGTGGTATTAGGGGCCTGTTTATAGAGGCTCAGTGTGGGCCATGATCTGCTGGCTGCCACTTAGGATGATGTAACTCTCACACCTGCTTCTCCACTGTGTCCACAGCCAGATGAGCAAAGCAGAGTGGGAGCGGAAGAAGTCTGATAAGGCCATTGGGTATGTGTGCCGCCCTGAGCACCTCAAGGGTAGAGAGGCCCACAGATCACTCTTCTGTGGAGTTAAACGCAAAGGGTTGATTTAAATAGAATGCTTGTTTTAATGAATTAAAGAGTTTTAAGGCTCTATACATCAGATGAACATCTGTGAAATTGATTGTGGGTTATACAGCATTTGGTAACGTTTTATCCATCATCTGGCAGGTGAAACAGTGCAGTAGGAAGTCAGGAAACTAGAAAAACAAGCTGTACTGAGTTAATCCTTTTTACTTTTTTGTACCGAGACCAAATAAGCTTAGTGGGCAATTTCTGCTAGTCAGAAGCCATTGGTGGATATTCACAGATTATTTCTCTTTTTGTATAAGAAGACACAGTATGGACGTTCAGCTCGTTTCTTTTTTTAATTACAAATATATCAACAATAACTAATTGTAGCAGTAATACAAATGGATTGTTATGCAGAAATACTGAGATTCATGCAAGATGCCAACACTGTTACTCCTGTAGTCAGTCTCCCCTGTATTGGGGATACATAGAGGAACAGTAAAGTAATCTTAAAAAGATGGAAATTCGATGTTGTGTTTTTACACACTCTGCTGGAGAGGTCACACTTATGAATGGGGTTGTCTGTAGAAACGTATGCAAATGAGAGGCTGACGCCATGCAAACGGAACCATGCGGGGAGTTTTAACACAGAGAATAGATTTGCGTGGTTGTCATTGAAAGATCCTTGCAGCAACATTATGGGCAATTGGCCAGGGCAGCATCGTTTAAAAGGCGCCATGGGGACAACTGTGCAGCTGAGCAGCTGGCTCGAACAATGACCAGGGTGCCAAATATGCCACAACCAATGGTGGTTGTCACACACACACACACACACACACACACACACAGTTGTGTAATCATATCTTTTTGGGGACCGCTCATTCATTTGTATGCGAAAAATGCTAATGCTAACCATGACAACCTTAAAAAATGCTAATGCTAACCATGACAACCTTAACCCCTACCCAACCCTAACCATAACCATAAGTAACCAAACATTTTTAGTTTTTTAATTACAGTCATGGATTTTTATAAAATAGTTTTCCCATATGGGGACCAGGAACCTGATGGAACCTGGTCCCCATAAGGTAAAAAAACCACAAACACACACACAGGTGAGGTCTCTATATCTTTGTATGGACTCTCCATTCATTGCTATGAGCATAACCCTAATACTAACTACGACAACTATGACTACCCAGCCCTAACCTTATCCATGAGTAAACAAAATACAAGACTTTTGACATTCTTTGTCTGTTGATTGCATTCACAGATTTTTATAAAATTGAGCATCCTCTTGTGCGGACCAAAAAGAAATGGTTCCTACATAGCCCCCCCCCACACATGCACCCCTTTTTGCAGAATTATTGTGCCAATCTCTTTGTCATATGAAAGTTTACATTTCCTTTAAGGACATGCGGGAGTACAGGGAAACACGGATACAGTCTCATTGTAAGCAAAAGCACATACAGTAGAACATTGGACCTCGAACACCTCTTAACTCGACCTGTCTGTCAGATTTTTTTCGACTTGCACCTCAACCGAAATCTTAGACCTTGACCGTTCCTGCTAAAACTTTTATGGGTCGAGAGGTGTTTAACTCTACCAATTTGGACCTGAAATGGGTTGGTCGGGAAAAATTTGGCTGCAAATCAAGCGAAAACTCGGAACACGACAAAATAGACCTGCTAAAACTTGTACGGATTGAGACGTGTCTCCCCTGCCAAACAATAACCTCTCCGTCTAGGGTTACCACCATTCCCTTAAAATATGGGATTCTCTCACACTGGAAAATAAAATGTTGTATCCTGTATTATAAGGGATGGGTGGGTCTGGAACAGAATACAGACGCTCCTGTACTTACGAATGAGATACGTTCCGAATGGCCGTTCATACAGTAACTTGAAATGTTCGTAAGTCGTTATTCAGCATCATATTAAGGGTATACGCAAGTACAAAGAACTAGGATGCTGGGAGAACGCACGCTACGCTGCTGTGCGGCAGGAGCAGCAGCCAGAAGTCGTGCTAGGCGGAATTGGCGCGCAGGAAAAAAAAATTATGTTGTGGACAGGAAATGGGAGCCCAAAGAACACAATTTGGACTTACAGTCCTCTTCGTTTGTATGTCTGAAAGTTCGTAAGTTGAAAGATCGTAAGTAGAGGAGCGTCTGTAAATCCATCTACATTATTTCTTATGGGGAAATTAGACTTGGACCTCGACACTTCCATAGTACCACTGTAAAGGAAACTTCTGACATGGTCTCTACTGGCTGAATACTGTAGGCAACAGGCAGAGAAGGCATGAGCCACGATCTTATGAAGTCATTTTCACAATTGGAATGCTTATCACCTTAATGCCGCCACCAGCACAGTCACCAAATGTATCCTCAGTATCCTAAGGCACAGAGCACACAGCCTGGTCAAGGTATGATTTGTAAGTGGTTGATAGTTTTGCTCATCATTCCGAATACTGGAGTGTTACACTTGAAAACTGCAATGAGATATTGATGGACACACAGAACTGGCATGAGCTCTCCCCCCCCCCAGTATTCTGCGTTAGTCATCTTTGTTTTGTTTCGTGATGCATTTTATGACTTGCAAGTGCTCCCGTTTGTCAGGAAGCAAACAACAGCTAATATGTGTCTGTGTGCATGGATTCCTGCCTCTATATCACACTCACTCTCAGTTTGTGCAGTTGCCAGGCAGCAGGACTAAGTAATGACTGGGCATGCAGCCAAGCCATCACCACTGGGGTGGATTAGTTTCTTGAGACTAACAAGGCCTCTGCAGAATTACGCCAAGCATACCCTGGTCAATTAGTCCCTCCCCTGGCAGAACATTTCCAGTTTATACTATATCCTAGTTTCAGCATTTTTTTGCGGCAGTCTAACATGGACCCTCTGATCAAGGGCCAGCCAATCTGAAAATAATTTGAATATGTGGAGCTCCTGTTCTCTGCTGTTGCAGGTACTCTTTTGCCATCGTGGGCATCAACATCACTGAGCTGGCCTACTCCCTCCTGGTGAGCGGTGCCTTGAAGACACACCTCTATAATGTGGCACCAGAGATGCCGAATCTGGTTCATTTTCAACAGACCTTTTGTGAGTGTTTCTACACTATAATGTTACCTTTAAACCCAGCATGGAGAGATTAATGGTTCTATAAAGCAGTGTTTCCCAACCCAGTCCTTGGGGACCCACAGACAGTCCATGTTTTTGATCTGTCCCAGTTCCCTGCCAGACAGTACAAATTTTTGCTCCCTACCGGGTGCTGGGGGGGAACAAAAACATGGACTGTCTGCGGGTCTCCGAGGATTGGATTGTGAAAAAGGAGGAGCATGAAAAAGGATGAAAAACACAGCCATACTTTGCCCATATTGATAGTACTACCCCTTGTTGTATTCTAATTTCCTTTCAGTTGTTTTTTTTTTAAATTGTTCATAAATAATTGCCATGCAATTGCAATTGGAATTTGGGGGGAGTAATCTTGGATCCTGCTGGTCCCCGTTCTTCATGATGCGGCTTGCTGTCCCTTTGCAGGTTACCTCATGCAGGAGTTTCACAGGTTCTGGATTGAGGAGGACCCCTGTGACATCATGGAGTTCAATCGCGTGCGTGAGAGGTTCCACAAGCGGGTGCAGAGACAGCTGAGGAACCCTGACATGGCCCTGTGTCCCCACTTTCCTGCCTCTCACCTGCACCTGGTTAACCTATAGCACAGCCTCAAGCCTTCGGCATACCTCTCCAACACCCGCCCACCCCTCTCCTCTTTGAGCTACATCACGCCACTGCCAGCCACTCGCTTACCCTCTGCCCCCTGATGCTGCCCTTAGAAAACCATCATGACCATGACAATTGTACACCACAGTACTGTGTCACATTATTATTATTATTCAGGATTCTTTGACCACTGATATTTTATAAAAAGACAAATAACAATGTCTGAAATTTATATATCCTGGAATATTATGTATTGTTGATTCAATACAGAAGTATTGACAGACAGGAGTAAATATTGAATTAAGGAGTAAATATTAATATTAATTTAAGCAGATATTAACGTCGGGTAGATGACAGCTCTTATGGCTGGAATAGAGGCAATTTTCCATCTGAGGAGAAAAGGGTGACTATACAAGAGAAATCGTCAAAACAGAGTAGGCAGTTTATCATGCAAATAGGGAGAGAAGGGTGTATCTAGCATGCAAAGCAGAAAGTCATACTTCTTTATGAGCCAACAGGGATGCTGGAGGCATCAGAAGATCAAGAGAAGATCAAGAACGTACAGGTTCCCAATCCACTACATCAAGCACATAACATACTGTCATGTCTAAGCCAATCACATATTTGCGACCATCAATTGAGCCAATTGTGTCGTCTGAAGTCTGCGCCAATAACAAAATAAATAAAGTCTGGCTGACACGTTAATTCTGAATTCAGCACCTCGATACTGTAACACACTGCTTTTGTTATTTCTCATCCTCAGGACCCTGTACAAGGTTCAGTACATCACCGTACACTGCATTATCAGGATTTCCGAGGCATTCTCTTAAGACATTACATACTTTATTTCTTTGAAATATTTTTTTTCATTTGCGACCTACCGTTCACTATGTAATATAAAGTGAGCATGTTTTGCAGATCCTTTAGGTGTCTGTGTGAAGTCTCAGTCTTGAAGGCGAAATACCATCCACAGAAATGCTGATGGAACTGCATGAAATATTTTACTCCCGTTTTAACTTTTATTTAGAAACACCATGCAGGTGGTTCAGAGGCCTGGATCACGAAGCTGGATATCTTGTGTAGATGGATTACTTGTCAGATTTAAGGTAGTCCAGGCTAAATTTCAGTGAACAAAGACAAAGAATATTTAAACCGGAGTTCCTTAAATCAGTCAAGTTATCCAGCTAAGCAAGAAATCTGATAAGGGATATTTTGCTGCCTTTTGCAACACTTGTATGTGAGTGGCGTTTATGTCTAAGCTTCTTAGCTGTAAAGTGCGACGATATTTGCTTATTCTCATTAGTCCTTTGTTGAAACATATGGTGGTCGTTTTACTGTTACGGCAAAAATGAAAACGCTCTTTAAGTGTTATTTCTAAGATACGTTTACTAACATCCCACCCAGGCATGTTGATTTCAGGGAAGTGGACAGGGGCGTGCTGGCTGGGTTTGAACGGTATTACAGTGATATCCCTTCCCCATTCTGAAAATTTTATCGGTAAATAGGCCCATTTGGAATGGCACTACTTTTTAACGCTATAATGGCATAGGGGAAGGGTGGGTGCTGGTGGTAAAACTTGCTGACCGGGGCTAGAGTGGCGGTAAATTCTGCCGGCCGATTGAGGGTTGCGCCGATAAAACTTCTTGCCGGCTGATTTTACGGAGATATTATGCAGCATTTGTGGGTGTCAGGGAGCTGCTGTTTGTGTTCTTTGTGGTAGACTCCCGGAACTTCTGGGCGAGGTGGGATTTTTGCGTTTATTGTTACATTGTAGACTAGCATCCATGTTTCCGTGTCAGTTAAAAGGAAAAGGGAATGATCAATATTTAGTTAAAAGTGGTTTACAATAACATAGCACTAAAGTAGATGATGTTAAAATAGTACTGTAAAACAGTGTTAAAGGTAAGTGAATGATAAGCCAAACTGCAGGATACCTGGGAAAATTATTTGGAGTCACTTTCTGTAACTCATGGGAATTCTTGCTGTGACAATAACATACTTTTTTATTTATACGTAAAGCTCTTGAATAAAATGATGCATATGTGTGTATTCCTGTTTTTCGCCATTTTAAAGTCTTATGATACAGAGTTTAATGCCACTGATTTATTTTTTCTGGCATAATTTCGGGAAATCATTCATTTTATTAGCCCATATGGGTTTTACCGAGGTGATTGGTTTCTCGTATTTTTGAAACAGAGCCGATATACCGTTAGACAACACAGGCGATGACCAAGGATGCCATCTTCTGAAGGGACTTTGGCGAGTGTCTTCTCTGGCATGAGGAGCACTGTCTGAGACAAATGGCTTTTCCACTGCCACCAAGAACTGAGCCGCAAATTGACGGTTTTCCATTGTAAAGTATAAGAGCAGTACCCAACCCGATCCCTTGCTGACCCTTTTCAGTAGCAGGGCAGAGCGCTTGACCAAACCAAGCTGGGTGCATCACCACCATTTGATTGTTTGAAAGCATGCAGATACCAGTGATCTGCAGATTATCTGAAGGAACAAATAATATATTCTATGTATTATTCATTATTAGTGGTATCCCACATCACAATGCATTCCCGAAAACTCAGAACTTGAAAATAATAATTCATACTTTATTGATCCCCATGGGGAAATTGTCTTTATGCCTCCCACAACTTGCTCTTTGAAGAGCAAGCTGTCTGCCAAGGGCAGCCACCTATTGGGGCACCCAGGGAGCTGGGGGTTTTGCTCCAGGAGCCACAGACAGGCTGAGACTGGGTTTGAACCAGCGACCTTGTGATTAGTAGCGCATAGGCTTAGCTCTGTGAGCCACACGCTGCCCCAGAATGTTTGTGGAGAGGATTATGGCAGTCAATCCTGCCCCACCTTTACGTTCCCACTGCGACTCAGAGTAGGCAGGCCATTCGTCCAACCTTTCACTGCAGGGAAAAATGGTGACAAGTGCCTTTCAGTCTGCAACTACAGGTTCACAATCTCACTGACACGGTTACATCCTATATCATTTTCTGCAAGGACGTGTGTGCGGCAACTAAAACCTCTCATACAGCAGCAATAAACCCTGATTTACAACCAAACTCGGGAGAACAAGGAGGCTGACAAAAGTGGGGACAGAACCCTATATAGCCAGGCCAGGAACACACTGACAAAGGAGATAAGACTAGCAAAGAGGTGCTACACTGAAAATCTAGAAAACAGGTTTCCAGGTAACGGCCCTGCGTCTGTGTGAAGAGGCTGGCAGGACATCACTAAGGAGACCAACCCCCAACACTGCAGAGAACCCTCAGCTGGCCTATGACCTGAATGTGTATCACTGCAGGTTGAACAAACCTACTTTCACACACTCCCATCCTCTCCAGAGCTAGATAAGATTTTAACAACTCTGAGCTATTAGTTACGTTCTCCCCAAGCGAGCTCAATGGGCCGAATGACCTCCTCTCGTTTGTATAGTTCTTATGTTCCTAAGAGTTGCATTCTACGGTTAGCTCCTTACAGACTGCTAATGCACAGCATTCCAAACGTTTGGATGACCTCGAGCAGTCTACCACGGCGTGGAGCTCTACAGTCATCACTTTGGAAACTACAGTGAAAAAACTGCAGTCAGATGTGTGTAGCCTGACAATCAAATGCATGGACTTGGAAACCCGTAGCCGGCGTTAGAATATTCGGCTTGTTGGAATAGAGGAGGGCCAAGAGGGGGCCAACCTGCGGCAGACGGCTCTACCAGGGCCATTTAGACAGCATTTGGGATGTGC